CTTCAAATGAGTATGTTTTCTAAGACATTATTAATTCCATGTTATCGGAGAGGGGGAGGTGCAGTGAGAGGAAGAGGGGAGAGGCAGCTAAGATACTTTTTTATTTCACTTGAAAGTGCTGTTTTCCCACTTCAGCAGTAGCAGCAAAAGCGACATATTCATTTGCTTGTGTGTGAGGTTTGACTAAGGACCATATTTCCAAATTATTCAGAGATGCTACCCAGCACCTTAAAGTGTGGTGCTCACTAATTCCCCTGCCTAGTTTGGTGTCTCTCTTTTGTACCTACTTGGTCTTTCCAGTATCAACCCAAATATCACTTCTTTGTGGAGACCTTCCTCAACAATTTTGAGTCCACTGCCCTCCCCAGTAGAAAATTCCTCTTTGTTCTATGGCAGATTTCTCAGACTCTTAACAGTCATCATGTCATATCATAATTTATGTGTGTGTCTCCCCACTTAGAATGAGTGCTTATAAGTTAGATAACCATATTACTCAAATTTATGTTCCTTGATCTTAATATTGGGTTGGCCAAAAGTTCGTTTGGATTTTTCTGTAAGATGGTAAGGAAAAAAACCTGAAGGAACTTTTTGGCCAAACCAGTATTTTTACTTACTTGATACATGCTTGCTAAATGCTTGCAGGAATGAATAAATGGAAAGGAAGGAGGCAGTGGGGGAGGAAGAAAGGAAGGAAGAGATGAAGGATGGATCAGTTCAACATCTCCTGTGATGATTAGCTGAGAGCAGGGCTTTGCAGCAGTTGGCATTGACAGGAAGGAGCTAGGAGGCAATATTTCAGAGTTTGGGGGACCACAGAGTGTGCCGCTGCCATGGGTAGGAGGTGGGAGAGGCATAGGAGTCTACTTCAGTGACAAAGTAAGGCTGCTGCAAGGAGATAAATCTGGTCTTCAAAGCAAGCATTGTTACTTCACAATTCTGCCTCTCATCTGTCCAACTCAGAAGTAAAAGAACTTGCTTAATCCTTAATAACGAACAAACACTCTTAGAGGAAACAAAGGAAGGTCTGCAGACTAGACAGCTACATGTCCATTATTTAACAGAACTCTATTCCGAGGATCTTACAGTGTACAGTCTTGCTTATTCAAAACCACTGTCGAAGGGGAAAAATAAGCCCTGCATAAATAAAGCCTGTAGTTTTGTGGGTTTTAATAACTCAACACTACTATTCTAGATAATGTGTTCTCTTAGTTATCTGCTGTATCACATTCCTAACTCCTTTATGCATGTCAATTTTGGTGATTACGAATAGGGAAGGTAATAATCACTATAGAACCTGTGTTCTATACATAGACATTGATTTAACCACCATTGCTAGTAATTCAGTTCAGTTCAGTCGGTCAGTCGTGTCCAACTCTTTGCGACCCCATGAACTGCAGCACGCCAGGCTCCCATGCTGGAGTCCAAGTGGACTCCAACTTCTGGAGTCCACCCAAACCCATGTCCATTGAGTCAGTGATGCCATCCAACCATTATTACTATTACTATTATTGCTAGTAATAGCTATCTTGAATGGGCTCATTTGTCATCATCATTTTCTAATTGATGAATACGGTAAAAAAGACATGCACTGGGTGAAAACCTTCAACAAAAACTAATCTGTTTTGTCGCTCTCTGGAGTAATAATTACGTTTTCTGGATGTCCTTTCTTTGGTGATGTTCCAAGGAAAAGATTTTCTATGCATTAACCAATAAACCAATAAATATGGGAACCTAAACTGTGCACAGGATTGTTCTAGAATTTATGACACTTTGAGAATATGAAATAATATTGCTGTATTATCAATGGAAGATATTGTATCTAGGAATGAAGGATTGAAGACTAACACACACATTATTAAAGAAGTAACTCAAGAGGGGAGCTTAATTATTTTGCATGTTTGTAAACTGCAGTTGTATTAAAATGGGGAAAAATACCATATCTTTTTAAACCCCTAAGATTTATATGTTTTCATATTTAGACTTCTGAAAAGAAGATAAATCATTTTAGAAGTCAATGTCCATGTTCTGAAATTTGCTAGTGAAACCCTGATTTTATTTTATATTGACATCAAAACACNATTAAAATGGGGAAAAATACCATATCTTTTTAAACCCCTAAGATTTATATGTTTTCATATTTAGACTTCTGAAAAGAAGATAAATCATTTTAGAAGTCAATGTCCATGTTCTGAAATTTGCTAGTGAAACCCTGATTTTATTTTATATTGACATCAAAACACTTTAACAGTTAAAAAAATAAGTTAAGTCTTTTTATGTTTCAAAATACTTTCTCTAATATGTTGAGAAATACCAAGAATTTGTTTTCTGGGCCTTTAAATTAAACGGAAAGAATCATATCTCAGTAAAACTCTCAGGCCGCAGTATTCGTAGTTCATCAATCAGGAAAAATTTTACTTAATCACTAAGAAGAAAAGCTAAAATAATTTTCGTATTAAGATACACATACATTGGGAAATGTTTTGTTTCAGTGAATAATTCCCGTTAGGGAGTTTTGATTGCAGTTTCCCCAGTATGAGGAATAAAGGAGACGATTGACTTGGGGGAGTGGGGAGGTGATTAGCGTATCTCATATCAAGCGGTCTATATATTTTTCTTTGCGTGAGGTGTTGTAGAGGAATTACCTGGAACTGATTAAGCCCCAGGAGAGAAGCGGGGGAAACGCGCCTTCGGGAGTTCTTCTCCGGGAGAACGCGAGCGCCCTCTAGACTGTATTTACGGACAGATTCTGGTGACGCAACTCCGGCCACTGCACCTCCACGGAGTGGGAGGCAAGGGGCCGGATTCCTCCCGGTGGGAGCACTATCTGAACCAAAGAAGGAGGCTGGCGACGGGAAGGAAGAACAGATGAAGCGTCGGAACAGTGGCCACAGGACAACCTAAAGCTTGTGCAGAGTTAGGCGCGCGTCACACAGTTTCCCCGCCTACCTCCCCCCTACCCCCATCCACCCGCCGCCGTGTGTCACTTTCCTGTTCGGAAGTCTTACTAGGTTGCTGGGACAGAACAGGGGGCGCCTGCTCCACCCATCAGGTATCCGGTTGGACGAAAAGCCAGTCTCAACAACTTGATTCTCCCCGTTAAATGATAAGTTTAGCAGACCGTCTGTCTCCAAAGGCTGTACATTAGGGGAGGGGGAGGGGTGAGCACATCAGAGGATGCCTTTCGGTTCCAACCACAAATCATATGGTTGTGCCTCTTTATTCCACTTAGAGCCCTCTGACTTAAATTCCTCGTTCCTCCTGGAATGCGGGAAAGAGCGTCTTTGAGAGAAAATGAACCCTGTGCATGTGTTTTGAATTTTTTCTGCACTGATTTGTGATGATAATCAGTCAGGTTACATTTCTTGTGTGTCTTGCTGGGGGTGTAATAAACCCAGGACACTGATGACTATAATTTTCTGGGTGATGTTGCAATGAAGGGAATAAAGTGGCCCAGTGGTGAACTTTGCAGCTTGTTCCCTTCCTGTATGGAAATTGCCTTTATATAAAGTGGGTTCATAGCGAAGCTGGGACAGTCGCCTCCGAGTCATGCTCCCTTGTCATCCCAGCTTCCAGTCTTATCAGGCACATAGCAGGGAGGCTACTCTAGCCATAACTAAGCTCTACCTCCAGCCTCCAGAAAGGAATCCCCAAACTTTATATCCTAGGCAACCTGAGGAATGAAAGAGGAAGCTATAAAATCCCCTTTGAAAGGTTTGTCTGCTTTTATTACTATCATTTGGATGGAATGGGTGGAATAAAGATGTTGCGGAGGATTTGGGGTTACTTGGCATGGGGTGGGCACAGGAAGTGAGTCTCTGGAGATTTCTTAATGTTTAAAAAACAAACTGGCAGAAACTGGTGCAGTTTGGTGTTTCTGGGCATTCTTCAAAATTTTGACTTTCTCAAAAGGGGAAGGAACCTCGTGGGAGCAGGCCCCAGGCTAGACTTGTTGAGGTGGAGCATGGGATATGGGGGCATGGGCAATCATAGAGTCATGTTATATGATGAATCCATGGAAGAGGAAGCAGAAATGGGCCAGTTTCTGTGATTTGGAGTTTTCTAAAAACCTTGCTTAGGGTTGGAAGTGTCCCTTTCAGGCAGTAGGTAAGTGCTTTTTAAAGAGTGGGTGCTTAAAAAAATAAAGAGTGGGTGCTGAGCAAAATCTCCCGGCCAGTCTCCAGGATGTGTTGTTTTCTGCCAGTTTGGGGCTGTTGCAACTGAATAAACCAAGAAGCAGTTGAGGCTACAGATCACATTCGGGCAAACGAGGTGGTTGTGCTTGCAAAACAAATTCCTGCCCAAGACTAAAGAAACACCCCTTCACAGGCTATTCTTGGTGTGACAGCTGGTATTTTCGGAGTGTGTCAGATCCAGTAGGCAACTTCAAAATGGCAAGGCCGTTGGCAAGTAAGGGGTCATGGCAGGGCAGCCGCCGCAGACAGGCGCCCGACCCTGCGAACTTAGTCGCTTGCAGCCTTCTCCCGCTCCTGGCCCAGCCGCCGTGTTCCTGGCTTTCCTGCCGGCGCTGGCGCGAGTCCACGCACCGGCGGTCCAGCTGCAGCTCCCAGGCCTGTCGGAGCGGCGGGGTTACTGGAAGGCACCGCACGGCCGTTCTGCAGCGCTCCCCTCCCTCCGTTGCTTTCTGGAGCGGAGGAGGCGCCCGACTAATCTTTCCAGAGTTACAGTTACCAGGGGCTCGAGAGAAAGAGCAAGGTGGTAAAACTCCAGGGTCTGCCTTGAATTAAACCGGAGGAGGGCTAGGGAAGACGCGTACAACCTAAGACCATGGGGTGCGACCTAGCCGAGTTCGGGGAGCGGGAGAACCCCGCGGTGCCGGCTCCGCACCAATCCGGGGTCACGGCAGGTGGTCCCCTAAATTGCCACCTCCTCACGTGTTCTTGCCATGGCGGGGATTAAAAATGCAAGGGGGAAAATTACATGCGGAAAGGACAGAATGTTCCCAAAGATTACATTAGGGAAAAAAAAAAGTGAAATGCAGATTTTTTTTTCCCCCTTAGTGCAGAGACGAATTTTATTTCCGCCCCCTCCCCCCACATTCCTGACCTCTCTCCCTCCCCCTTCCCTCTTTCTTTCCTTCCTTCCTCCTCTTCCAAGTTCTGGGATTTTTCAGCCTTGCTTGGCTTGGGCCAAAAGCACAAAAAAGGCGTTTTCGGAAGCGGCTCGGCGGTGCACAAGGGCCATTTGTTTGTTTTGGGACGCGGGGCAGGAAATCTTGCCCGGCCTGAGTCACGGCGGCTCCTTCAAGGAAACGTCAGTGTTCTGCTGTCGCCCCAGCCCGCTGCGCGCCCGGCCGCCGCTGCCCATGGGGGAGATGCAGGGCGCGCTGACCAGGGCCCGGCTCGAGTCCCTGCTCCGGCCCCGCCACAAAAAGAGGGCCGAGGCGCAGAAAAGGAGCGAGTCCTTCCTGCTGACCGGACTGGGTAAGCGCGGCTGCCGCCACGCGGGGGACTTGCCTTGCGCACTCCTCCACTAGTTGCTCGGATCGGGAAAGAGGGGCTGGGTATCTGGGGCTGCACTGAGGATGGGACCGGGGAAGGAGGGCGGCGGGAGCCAGGGGACCACGCTGACCCCGAAGATAAGACCGTGCGGGGCCGCCCTCCCCGGGCGCTGCCGTTCTGAGCTTGAGATAACTATTGAGGGCGCGCTGCACGCCCGGCGAGGGCTCGGGAGACTGCCGTGTGAATTACGGGAGAGGATCAGAGTCGGCGGCGGGGCAGGGGGTGAATCCGAACTGAAGGTTTGAGAAACCAGAGCGGGCGCAGAGCCACCCCGATCGCCGCGCACCGGGCAGAAACCGCTCTGATTTCCTGATCTGCCGCGACTCTGATTTCCTCGCAAGGCGGAATAAATGAGAAAAGTGGAAAATTACCCCGGCTGCTCCCTCCCTCCCACCCCCTCCGCCTGCGGTTTTCCCAGTCTCCGGCCCGGGAGCAGAGGGAGGCGGAAAACAGTCTCGGGCCGGACCCTCCCGGGGCGGTCCCCGAGCCCCCCAACCCCTGCTCCCGGCTGGCCCTCTCCTCGGGGGCGGAACCGCCCGCCGCCTGCTCCTTTGCCGCCAGTCGCGCGGCGCAGCATCTGGGGGCGGGGCCGAGGGCGGGGCCGGACTGCGCCGCGGACTCTTTGTCGCGTGTGTCCCGCCCCCGCGGCGGCACAACGCTTATAAGGCTGGAGACCGGGCCCGAGCGCAGCGTTGGCTGAGCCGGTCTCGGTTTTGTAACGACTCCCCGTGCGCTCTCTGGCGATGACGGTGAAAACCGAGGCTGCTAGAGACACCCTCACTTACTCCAGAATGAGAGGCATGGTAGCAATTCTCATCGGTGAGTGTAGGGATACGACTGAACTTCTAGGCTATTTCTAGGTTACGCGAAGTGGAAGTTTTTGAATGCCCAGGATCAGATTAGTGTGTGTGGCGTTGGATTTACAAAGCCTTTGTCTAAACGTTTCTTCTCTCTAATTCACAGCTTTCATGAAACAGAGAAGGATGGGCCTGAACGACTTTATTCAGAAGATTGCCAATAACTCCTATGCATGCAAACAGTAAGTTTCGGGGGGGGGGGGAATTGGGGGAAATAGAAATAAGTAGTGAAGTTTCCATTTACCAGCAGTAAAGATACACTTCCCATTAATATATTGATCAGGGAGCCAAAGACTTCCCGCGGGTGGGGATCCCTTTTCTCTTTAAATTCTAATTATTGAAGACATTTCAAACATTAAAATTAACTTGTTGATTTGGCTTGCACTAGAGATGCAAGATAAAACTATCATATTTTCCCCATTCACCTCCTCTCTCCTTGAAGAACAACCCCCATTTCTGTGTTTTAGTGGGTTTGTTATTTTAGCTATTAGTTTCTTTAACAGTAATTGATTCGGGTGTTTTTAAACACTGAATCCTCCGGAGTAGAGCCAGAAATTCACTGTTGGTGTTGTCTGCCCCCTTGTGGCGAGTTAGGATGTTCTAAATTGTTCCTTTCCTCTTTGCAGCCCTGAAGTTCAGTCCATTTTGAAAATCTCCCCACCTCAGGAGCCTGAGCTTATGAATGCCAACCCTTCTCCTCCAGTAAGTGTTCTCTATTCGTGAAACATCAATGGAGGGATCTTAAAAATGAGTCAGTATCTCTACGTGGATGAATTTAAATAGCATTTTAGTTAGTATCAAGGCAGGAATGCCTTGTTAGTTCATAGCAGACAACTGACATAAGCACTTAAGTATGAATCAGTGGAGCATTTTGAAAGGCGTATTTCATAAAAGTGTTATCTGCTTAAGAACAGTATGATTGTGTACAATTTCCATACTCTGTTTTGCAATATGCACATGTATGGACAAAAGGTATTTTGAAATGTGTTTATAGATGTCTGGGGACCTGCCTAGTCATTTGCAGATATCCCATCTCTTACATTGCCTGTACTTGACTATCACAATCTTTCTTTGAAGCAAGGAAAAGATTAAAGGAAAATCTCTTATTTTCCAGCCAAGTCCCTCTCAGCAAATCAACCTGGGCCCATCATCCAATCCTCATGCTAAACCGTCTGACTTTCACTTCTTGAAAGTAATTGGAAAAGGCAGTTTTGGAAAGGTAATTTCACATCTGAAGCTCTTGTTGTTTATAGTCTTTCATACGCTAATTTTACATTCTCCCTGGATGTGAACAGGAAAATGATTTCTAATTTAAATTTCAGGTTCTCCTGGCAAGACACAAAGCAGAAGAAGTATTCTATGCAGTCAAAGTTTTACAAAAGAAGGCAATCCTGAAAAAGAAGGAGGTATGAGCTGGGCTGGGAGAGAAGCCGGTCACTAACATTACACTGGAATCTTGGCGCCAAGTTGAAATTTGCCACTGAATCTTCATTGTCCTTTTTCTAGGAAAAGCATATTATGTCGGAGCGGAATGTTCTCCTGAAGAACGTGAAACACCCTTTTCTGGTGGGCCTTCACTTCTCCTTCCAGACGGCCGACAAACTGTACTTCGTTCTGGACTACATCAACGGTGGAGAGGTGAGCGGAGGGGGTGGGAGCCGACCGCTGGGTGTCTGTGCGTGGCCCGCTTCATTTAATTTGGGAGGAAAGTTTGTAAAAGATAGTTAGGAGAAAAGTTAACAGCATTAGCATTTCCCTTAACCTCCCGGCATTCAGATAGTTAATAGACTATTTAGGGCTGCTTCCTGCCATTGTCCTCTTTAGTTATGTATATGTCAAGCCTGGTTCAATGCATTGTCCTCTGGCTTGGCAGCCCGGGCTGACTCCCTTCTGTCTTCTACAGTTGTTCTACCATCTCCAGAGGGAGCGATGCTTCCTGGAACCACGGGCTCGATTCTATGCTGCTGAAATAGCCAGTGCCTTGGGTTACCTGCACTCTCTGAACATCGTTTATAGGTGAGTTGAAGAGCTCTTAAGGTGCCCTTCTCCTGTAAAGGGGACCATAGCCCAGGCTTTGACAGCACCTTAAAATAATTTGTGTTTAGGCATAACTTGTTCACCTAAAACCAGATCTCCAGCATGTGACTGGTCTTGACTCCCTTCCACTAGGCAGCTAGCCAATGCGGATTGTGCCTAATTCAGAAGAGATTAACAGAACAAGGACTCCCTTTTAGATTTACTAACACAAATACAGTAAATATAAAGTGCTCCTAACAGCCCTAGCAATGATCTTTATAGCAATGATCTTTACTCATGCAGTGAAATTAATTTATGTGACTACTTTTTTTTTTTTAAACAGAGACTTAAAACCAGAGAATATTTTGCTAGATTCACAAGGACACATTGTCCTTACTGACTTTGGACTCTGCAAGGAGAACATTGAACATAATGGCACGACTTCCACCTTCTGCGGCACGCCCGAGGTAGGCACACTCTTGATTTGGTGCCTGGTCTTCCCACTCCTCCAGGAGGAGATCATTGCACTAGTGCCTTTAACTATTGAAAGAGTATTCTTAGAAGTGTTCTAGTCCAGTTCAGTGCAAGTAAAATGCATTTACTCTTGGAGGCATGAGAAATTCCAAAGCCTCATGTTGCTTTAATTAAAATGAACTGTTGATAAGATCCATGATCATAGAAAGTTTCTAAATTCTCAAGATAGCTGAGGGGTACCCACTAGCTTTCTAAATATCGGACACATAAGTGGACAGTCAGCCTCAAAGGCATCAATTTTATCAGGAAGTAGTCTAGAGAAATATATCCTCCAAGTAGACCCAGTGTGTCTTTGAAGGCGCTCCCCTGGTCTTGGCAGTGCCTGGTTCAGGGGCCCTAAGCTCTCTTTTCCTGGTCTTTCAGTATCTGGCGCCTGAGGTGCTTCATAAGCAGCCCTATGATAGAACGGTGGACTGGTGGTGCCTGGGGGCCGTCTTATATGAGATGCTGTATGGCCTGGTGAGTAGCCCATTGAAAATCAGAGAATATTGCCCTGGGTGGATATATTTCTCCCTCCAGACTCATCTGGGCACACAAACCCTTTTGCAGACTTGATCATCGTGTCTTGCCCTTTATCAGTAAGCTTAACAGATGCTGATGTGACGGGCGTATTGGCTAAATTATAGGTGTCTTAGGATAAACCCTTACCTAGTGGATTTTTCTTTTGTAAGTTCACACTTCACTAGGTTTGCCCACACTTCACATATTTGAGAGTGAAAAGCATGGCTTATTAGCATCTACCCCGCCCCCCATCAGAGTGGCAAAATACAGACACTGAAAACTCCAGGGCAAAGAAAACCTATCAAGTGATAGACTTTGTCAAATCCAGCCTCATGCATTCTAGTCTGAGTCTTTATTGGTAGTGAGTGCTCTCCAGGACTTGAGGCTGACTAGTAAGTGGTCCTGCCCCTTCTTTCAGCCTCCCTTTTATAGCCGGAACACAGCTGAGATGTACGACAACATTCTGAACAAGCCCCTCCAGCTGAAGCCAAATATTACAAACTCTGCAAGACACGTCCTGGAAGGGCTCCTGCAGAAGGACAGGACAAAGAGGCTGGGTGCCAAGGATGACTTTGTGAGTCACTTTTCCTGTCCTCCTGGGCTGTCTGGGAGAGCACTAGACCTCACTGCCCTTCTTGAATTTCAGGCATCTAAGTTCATGTTTCCTTCTCAACAGATGGAGATTAAGAATCATGTCTTCTTCTCCCTAATTAACTGGGAAGATCTCATTAATAAGAAGATTACTCCCCCTTTTAACCCAAATGTGGTGAGTAGCTCTCAGGCATGGATGGAAACCCAAGCAAGGGCTTCTTTTAAGTCAGAGTTGATGGCATTGGTGGGGGTGGGGAGCCCCCTAAGGAATAAATTGGCAGCTATTTATTCATCAACCATTATTTTACCTACAGAAGAGTAGAACTTCTATCTCAATGAAGCTCATATAATTTTTCAGCACATTTATAAATTAAAGTAGCGAAAGACAGAAAGAAAACATGACCTTCATAGGTCATGACCTTACATGGCCTGTGGGTTTTGTGCTTGAAATGGTTTGTGATGGTCTCTATATAGCGCCTAAAGCTTGCACGAGAATTTCCCTGCCTCATCTCCACTGTGAATTCTTGACATGGAGCATGTTTTGTTTTGTTTTGTTTTCCTCTTCCGCAACAGAGCGGACCCAGCGACCTGCGGCACTTTGATCCTGAGTTCACCGAGGAGCCGGTCCCCAACTCCATCGGCCGGTCCCCGGACAGCCTCCTCCTCACGGCCAGCGTCAAGGAAGCGGCTGAAGCCTTTCTGGGCTTTTCCTATGCACCTCCCATGGACTCTTTCCTCTAAACGGTCTTAGGGTTGGTTGCAAAGGATTTTCTTAGTTAACCTTTTGGCAGAGCTGCCAGCTGACAGGACATCTTAAAAGAGAATTTGCACATCCCTGGAAGCTTGCACATCTTGGCAGTCTTATTGCACACTGTTTGCTGGAAGCTTTTCGAAGAGCACATCCTCCTCAGTGAGCTTGTGAGATTCTCCTCTTTATTCTTCCTTCCAATGTGGTGCTATCTCTGAAATGAGCAGTAGAAGGCCGCCCGAGACAGATGGCAGTGGTCTCACTGGCTGTTCTGAGAAGGCGCTTCTGGAGGCCTGTCGGGGCCACGATAACGAATCTTATGAAATGTGCCTTTTCTGATGAGATCGTGTTAGCTCCAAAGCTTTTCCTGTTGCCGAGTGTTTTCGTTCCGTTTCTCCTGTGGACTCCTGTGTGATCCGCCGTATGAGTGTGGTATGCTTGCTCCCAGAAGGACTCAGTTATAAGCATCAATGTGACGCAGAACACGACAACGTGGGACATTGTTTGTTTCTTCCATATTTGGAAGATAAATTTATGTGTAGACTGTTTTTTTTTTTTGTAAGATATACTTAATAACTAAAATTTATTGAAAATGGTCTTGCAATGACTTGTATCCAGATGCTTAAAGAAAGCATTGCTGCTACAAATATTTCTATTTTTAGAAAGGGTTTTTATGGACCAATGCCCCAGTTGTCAGTCAGAGCCTGGTGTTTTCATTGTTTAAAATGTCACCTATAAAATGGGCATTATTTATGTTGTGTTTTTTTTTTTTTTGCATTCCTGATAATTGTATGTATTGTATAAAGAAAGTCTGTACATTGGGTTATAACACTAGTATATTTAAACTTACAGGCTTATTTGTAATGTAAACCACCATTTTAATGTACTGTAATTAACATGGTTATAATATGTACAATTCTTTCTCCCCTCCCTACCACACACCTTTTTGTGTGTGATAAACCAACTTTGGTTTGCAATAAAACCTTGAAAAATATTTACAGAAATTGTGTCATGTGTGTTATTTTGTATATTTCAGTTAAGGGAACAATAGTAGATCCATTTAAAATCGAAAACCAGGGAAATGCTGCTGTGATTAACAGTGGCTTGCTTCCTCCAGAAGCATCAGCTTCTGACTTCAGAAGAGAATAGGGCAGTCTTAAAGTCTTATTTTTTTTTTCCCTCATTTTTTTTTCTCCTCAGGCCACACTGTGTGGTTTGCAGGATCTTAGTTCCCCAACTAGGGATCAAACCCGTGCCCCTGGCAGTGGAAGCTCTTGAGTCCTAACCACTGGACCACCAGGGAATTCCCTAAAGCCAATTTCTATCTGGGGGCTTAACCAACATTTTATGATGTGAGTCATTATCCAAAAATCCATCCAAACAAATTCTTGTCCATTTAACTGCCTCAAGGACAGTCATATGAAGTAATGTTCCCTATGTTTATTGCCTGTCCTGTGAAGTTGGCTGCTTGTCCTGACCTTTGACTTGTCTGAAGTAACAGGTAATTCTTTAACAAGTACTTGAGTGCCTTCACTGGGCCAGGCTCTATTCTAAGTACTGGAGATAAAGCAAGACACACCTCTGCCCTTACAGAGCCTGATGGGAAAGGCTGACTTGATCAGTAAAGCAGTTTGTTGAAATGTAAATCTAGATAATAGTCTGCAAGTCTAGGAGAATGCCACGGAAGAGGATGAGGATAAGTGGCCATGTTCCCAAAATGCTGAGCCGGCAGGACTCCTGGTTCTTGAGAGTAACCAGAGCTGAACTGAGTCCAGTGTCAGCTCTGAGAAGGAGCCTAAAGGGACACATCTCCTACCTGGATCAGAAGCCTGTGAAGCTGGTATGCACCCGGCACTGCGTGGGCCCACCTGTATTCGGGCCACTGGAATAGTTCCTGTGGGAGAAGGGAAAAGAGCATTGTAGGAGATCATCATCTTGCATCAAGTTGTTTGGACTTTTTCTCTTTTCTAGGCCTTCCACAAATTCCTGGCATACACGGGATCCTGCAATAGTTGGTCTTGCTGCTGCGCTAAGCCTCCTGCACACCCTTTATCTTGACCTCTCAGTTTGCTCAGGGGTTTCTCTGGAGACAGTCACTTTCCCTTTCATCATGGCTCTTATATCTTGCTGAAGAGTAGCCCCTGATCCAGCCCTGCATCTGAGTTACTGCTCTTCCCTCCAGACACTAGCTGCATTTTAAACCTTACCTACCGCAAATGCCAAAGTCAACTACATGCCTGCTAAGTCACTTCAGGCATGTCCAACTCTGTGACCCCATGGACTGTAGCCCACCAGGCTCCTCTGTCCCTGGGGATTCTCCAGGCGAGAATACTGGAGTGGGTTGCCGTGCCCCTCTCCGGGAGATCTTCCCCACCCAGGGATCAAACCTGTGACTCCTATATCTCCTGCATTGGCAGGCAGATTCTTTATTACTAGCGCCACCTGGGAAGCTCAAAAATCAACTACAATGATAAAGAAAATCTATAAAGTCCTAGTAAAGATTGATGCTAGTCCTGACAGAAAGGCTTTCTGTGTATCTTCCCCTCATTCTCATGATGAAAAACAGTTAACAGCCCCTCTATGAACAATAAGTACTTAAAACATTTTTATCTGAACATGGATCTTTCAAGCTGGCATTCTCCCATCTAATTAAACATAACTCAGAGGAGCTAATCATGGGTTACACAGCTTTTCAATCTTTTGAGGGTAGAAAGGTGGCTCTGGCTTCAGTCAGTTGCTATGTAAGATCTGATTTACATTGCTGGAGAGCAAATAAGAGCCAGAGGAGACCGAGTGTTGTCACACAAACAGGAGGAAATTAGATCAAACACAAGTGGGAGGGAAGGGAACAGGGCCAGAACAGGTAAGTCCAGAAAGAACAAGGGATCAATATATTTAAAAAAAAAAGAAAAGCAAATATTTGCTAAACACTATGATGTCAAGTAGTACATGTGCAGAAGTATCTATCTAGGGGTGGGTGTGGGACGCATCTTTGTCAGCATTTGAAACTACATTTGAACGTGATGGTGGATAAAAGGAACAATTCACTTCTCCATAGGTTTTCAGCCGGATAGCTGCTCAAATATGGATTTAGGGGGAATGTGTTCAGCTAAGATTCCCACAAATTGAAGTGGGGCTTTTAAACCACTGCGACCATGAAGATAACTCAAGTACCATGCTTAGGGAATTTGCCATCTACTTGGGGCACCCACCCGTGGTATAAGGCCGGTGGAGAATGAAGGCTAAAGGGAACCTCAGGAATCTAGAAGTTCTCTGTGGGGTTGGCTGCCTAGAGCAGACTCCTAAACTCTCTAGGTTACTAGAATCTCCCTAGAGATTGTTTCTAGGGAGTCTAAAAGAATATAAGCTTAAGAATTAGACAACACGAATAGTTAATATTATAAAATTCATACTATATGCCAGGCATTGCTCTAAGTACTTTATACAAAATTCATTGACCCCCTGATGTCAAAGTGAAGAGATTAGCACAGAAAGGTAATTTGTGGGGACATGGTGAGGTTAGAAGTCAAATCATGATAGTCTGGTCCCAAAGCCTATGCTTGTAATCACTACACTATTCTGCATAATGTCACCACTTAAGTGACAAGAATATAGAAGCCAACACTTCTGTGTTTGTTAGTCATTTACTTACTATTTCACTAGACTTTTACCCAGATACCTTCTAAGTGTCATGCTAAGGTAACGAGAGAAAAAGAGAAAGTGGGGTGGGGAGGGAGAAAGAAAGAATTTTCAATTATAGAACTGCCCTGGTGGTTCAGTAGTTAAAACTCCACGCTTTCACTGAGGGGGTATGGGTTCGATCCCTGGTCAGAGAAGTTCCACACGCTGTGTGGTGTGACAAAAAAAAAAAAATTTGCAATTATAACGTAGACATTTATAAGTTGTTGATGAAGATGAGATGCAGGGGGAAACACACATTGCAGTGGGAGTATAAATCAGTACAACCATTTTGGAAAAATGTTTGGCATTTTCTACTAAATAAAGATGAATATATTTATAACCTATGATCCAGTAGCTTCACTCCATGGTATATGTACCCCAAAGAGTGCACATATATTCAACAAAAAGTTTGCAGTGATATTCACAGTAGGACTATTTATATAAGCCTCAAAATGGCAACAATTCAAAATGTCTCCCAACAGCAAAATAAATATAATTAGTAAAATGAATAGATATAATGTAATACCATATTATAATAAAAACAAATGGATAATTGCTATATACAATAACAGGGAATAAACATCACAGACATAGAAGCCACCCTGTATGATTTGACTTGTATAAAATTTGAAAGCAGGCAAGCAAAGCAAAGCTGAAGTCAGGATCTGATCGCCTTTGGGGAGAGGAGAATAGAGATAAAAATTAAGAGGGCTGGTCTTCTGGTTGCTTGCTGGTAATTTCTTGATCTTGGTGGTACAGGCCTGATTTTGTTTTTTGATATATCATTAAGCTAAATACTTATGTGACTTCTCTATATGCTTGTTATATATCAATAAATATGTTTATTTTAAAATATATGGAATTTCCCTTGTGGTCCAGTGGTTAAGAATCTGCCTGCCAATGCAAGCTACAAAGGTTCCATCCCCGGTCCAGGAAGATCCCACATGCCACACATAACTAAGCCAGTATATCACAACCACCGAGCCACACGCCCAGAGCCTGCGCTCTGTAGCCCGAAAAGGCACCGCAAGGAGAGGCCACGCAGTGCGACCAGAGAGGAGCTGGCGCTCACAGCTAGAGGAAGCCCGTGCCCAGAGAGCAGACCAGCATAGCCGAGAGTAACGACATAAAGCTGAAAAACACACTCTGTGATAAAAATAGGATGTTATGGGAACCCAGAGGAGGACCATCTTCTCCAGTTTGGGGGTCAAGTAAAGGGGTTGCATTTTCAGGGAGTTTGGGACAGAGAAGCCTAGGGAGATCTTGAGGGCGCAGGTAGATTGTCTTAGGAACTGGATCTTGAAGTTGAGGCAGAAAGGAGGGCATTCCAGGTCTGGGGAGTTGAGGTGGCGATGCCAGAGAGGAACCTGTATGAACACGATGAGTGGAGCATTGGGAAAAGGGTGGGGCTTGGGAAGACCAAGGTCAGAATCCCAGCTCCCCCAACCCGCTTTGTTGCACTGGGCAAGTAGTAACTTGGGCAAACATCTCCTAACTTCAGTTTCTTTAGGGGGGAAACGTGCATCCCCTGCCTGCTTTTTCACAGTTATGCATGAGACAAAGTCAGAAGGAACTGGAATTTTAAAATGCTAGTTAATTTCATCTTCCCCCACTCATTACTTTTCTCGATTTCCTCTTCTCTTTAGCAGATTATAGGGGGGAAATGTTTTAAAGAATGGCGAGAAGTAATTTTGAATAGGGAGATGGACCTTGTGACTGATGTTTTTGAAAGTCTCGTGAAGTTTAGATTTCATTAGGTAGTAAAATGAAACACCTGGAGGTTTTCCATGAGGAAAAGGCATGATCAAAAGGCACGTTCTGGTGACTCTTGGCAAGAGTTGTAATTGTGGGGAGAACTTTGGGATTAAAAAAATAATAAGGAAGCCACTTAGGAGACTTCTGACAATCATTTCATTGGTGGTTGGAAAAAAAAGGACAGAGATTTTGAAGGCCTCAAATCAATGGAACTTCGTGAATTGGTGGGAATGAAGGAAGAAGAAGGATGTATTAATGTAGTTTATTTCTTTAACGTAATTGACTCCACTTATTGGAGTGGTTGTCTCAGCTGCAACAATACCATTTAGGACAAAAACCACCCACTAGTTTCTCCAATATCCCCAGGATGTGATGAATCAGCCGATGGATAATCAATCAGTGTACTTGGCAAGGTGAGATGTTACTCATTGTACTCAATCGCTACCCCATCCTGTTAAGACATTTCTCACCTCATCCATCAAAATGCTCCTAAAATCCTACCCCATATGCCTCAAGCCTTGTACTGAGAGCAGAATGATGTTAAACCTAACCTGGTGTGAATCAGAAC